CTGGGCCCCGGCGGGAAGCCTGCACTGGAGCAGGCTCCTGGCAGGTCCTGTGGACTTGTGGAGAGAGGAGCCCACACTGGAGCAGGTTTACTGGCACGACTTGTGACCCCACAGGGGACCCACACTGGAGCAGTGTGTTCCTGAAGGACTGCACCCCGTGGAGAGGACCCACGCTGGAGCAGTTTGTGAAGAACTGCAGCCCATGGGAAGAACTCACATTGGAGAAGTTCGTGGAGAACTGTCTCCTGCAGATGGGACCTCACACTGGAGCAGGGGAAGAGCATGAGGAGTCCTCCCCTGAGGAGGAAGCAGCAGCAGAGACAACGTGTGATGAACTGACCGCAACCCCCATTCCCTATCCCCCTGTGCCGCTCGGGGGCGGGGGAGGAGGTAGAGAAAATGAGGAGTGAAGTTGAGCCTGGGAAGAAGGGAGGAGTGGGGGGAAGGTGTTTTAAGATTCGGTTTTATTTCTCATTACGCTACTCTGACTTTTGATTGGCAGTATATTAAATTAATTTCCTCAAGTCAAGTCTGTTTTGCCCATGATGTTAATTGCTGAGTGATCTCCCTGTCCTTATCTCAACCCATGAACCCTTCGTCATATTTTTCTCTCCCCTGTCCAGTTGAGAAGGAGGAGTGATAGAGCAGCTTCATGGGCACCTGGCATCCAGCCAAGGTTAACTCACCACAGATAAAATAAATTATTTTAATGTACACTAAGGTACTTTATCACTACCCTCTAAGAAAAACTACTAGGGGTGTAAAAGAAAGAAAAAAGAATTCTGAATAACTGCCCCCAGAAAGTAAAATAAAAAGCTCATCCTGAAAGCAGGTCGAGACAAAGAGTTCTCACTTATGTTTATACTTGAATTCAAACAGGTTTTCCAAGTTGGATTAGAAAGACACACACACGCACTTTAAATAAGTGACAGGCCCCAAACTGACCACTCTTCCTCACCCATCTGAAAAGATACATGTGCTTTAAAAATGGCCCCCTAAAATCAAAACTCTTAGCCTTCAAAACATGGGTTGGCACAACTGTCTTTGATCATAAGACCATGGACTAAAAATCTCAAACAAAAACAGCCCCCAAAAAAATCCAGACAACTCTTCCACCCTTGTAATCTGCCTAGTTTTCTCAATTCTTCCTACTTTCCAAAGTATCAGCACTGTTGTTTTAAAACATAAAACATTAACTACTTGTTCACCTTTTGGTCAAGCATGTGGTTTAACACAGAAAATACTAATTCTACAGGAAAATAAATGACCTCACAAGTGAAATAATTTGTCAAAAGCCACGCAGACAATGTGGCAAAGCACAATTAGACCTCCTATTTTAAAATGTCAAAACTTGTGCTTTAAGCATAGAATCATTCTTTGGATGAGAAAACAAAGAAAAACCCAAACCTTTTCTTTGCAGACTTTCTGTTAACAGGTAAGCTGTGATAGCACAAATACACACGGTAACATTAGACTGCTTCTGTAAAATTATATGTAATTTGATAGTAACATTGTTTCATTGAAAATAAATACACTGAGATGTTTCATTCTCATCAATACTCTGCACCGCAGCTCCAAAACCCAAAGTTCTCTCTTACACTGTAAATTTGATATTGATTTTGAAATGACTGTTTAACGCACAAGTTTCCCATATTTGCAAGTGACATATTATTTTATGTACCGTGTTCAGCAGACACGTATAGAATTGTATGTACCACCTTTCTAGATGCGCTTCACCGTTTTATTAAAAACAAGCCTTTGTGCAGTCAAATTTAAAGCAAGGGTTGAGTTTTTCTCATTATATGTAGAAACACCTACAACCATAGACATCCTAAAAGGCATCTGAAAACATGATTTTGTTCTAAATCTCCAGCCAGCCAGCCACGCTGCATATTTGAGCATGCTTACAGTGATGTCTTTGGCACTCATGCCGAAGTGGAGCTCTCTGGTTCATTTGTTTTTCTTTCAGAAGTATTAACATGAAAAAATACACATCTATTCTTAATTCATGTATACAAAACCCAGACAATTTAATTCACAAGTGTCCTTCGTATCTCATTAATTTCACAACTGAAACCTAAGCTGCCAGTTTGGAAATCAGATCCTACCAATTCATAAAATTAAATCCCACAGAACATAAATGAGGTTTTTGCTGCCTGGGCACCGAGCAAATGTTTAAAAATTACCGTAGGTCAAATCACGGACCAAAACTCATTTACTAACTGAAAAAAAACTGTCTGCTTAACACTGCACCACGACGGTGACGACAGCAAAGTTGCCCCCGTCTAATCTCTGACGTCAGAGTCCGTATTTCTCCCCAGACGCCGGCAGGCATCGGTCCGAGCCGGCGGCCCGCAGCCCGGCGCCGCGCCGCGGG